AAAGGGATTCTCCCCTAGAGCTTCCTGGAGGAAGATAACTCTGCTGACACCTTGATTTTATCCTTGTAAGACCCATTTTGGACTTCTGACCTCCAGAAGTTTAAGATAATAAATTGTTCTGTTTTAAGCCATTCTTGTGGTAATTTGTTACCAGCAATAGGAAAGGAATACAATGACAAAAGTTACGAGTGCAGCAGCCACAGAGCAGGCATCTGGGCGTAACTGCTGGTTGATGATTTTAATCTATGAGACCCAGTGTTTCCTAGCATGAATACTGGATCTGCACCAAGCCTAGTTTTGATTTTGAATTTGGTGCCCCCCCGTGATTCTAGGATTATAGGTTTTACAAACCCACGACACTGCATTGCTATGAAACCTGCCAAGTTTGGGAACTTCATAAATTATTTCAGCTGGACTCTTATAATTTCCTGGCTTCTAAACTGGAGTCCAGGCCCTGGAGCGGTTTTCTCTGCCTGAACATCAACACCTTTGCCAGGATGAGTCATTCATTCCTCCATAAATCTGCTTTGCTGCCCACTAGTGGTTGGGGATTGGTCAATGGAACCTCTAGAGGCTGTCCTGGGCTCTTTGAGTCACCTCTCACCTGGGTTAGTGACTGCAATCCTTTGGAAAACACAGAATGCTTTTGAATTATGCTCAAAGGAGGGGGTGCCCAATGGTAAAAGCCTAGGCAGAGAGAGAAAGACTGAGGAGGGCAGAGGGAGGCAAGGAGAGGACTGGCTAGGGACTACTTCTGCTGCCAATGCCAGGCAAAGGCAGGTAGCATTTTATGCCCCTAAATTAGGGATGCCTACCCACATTCCAACCTTAATGAGCACAAAAACACCACAGGTGTACAGAGCATGCTAATCATCAAATAAAAATCAAATTTAGAATACATATTTCTTTAAATCAAATGGTTGAAGAACATGGGTTTACTTCCAGATATTTAGTTATTTTACCCCTTTCATTCACCTATAACACCAGACTTCAGAATATCTATTCTTTTTCAAACTTCTGCCTGCTCCTCTGGACAATGGAAAGCAATGCAAATGTATATGTATATATATATATATAT